ACTGAAGTAGTGTGCCATTACGCTGGGGAAGGAAGAACCCACTCTGTAAGGGATACAAAGTGTCAACATAGGACACCTTAGGGATCAAGAAGGTGATGTATCCCTGGTGCTTCAGGACTTCTGAAAAGGGAGGCACCAGCTCCAGAATGGGAACAGTGGGCCAGTGCTTTAGCAATGGCAAAGTTTAGTAATTAATAGTAAGTTTTTCCTAGTGAAGAATAATCTCAACTTTGCCCGCATGGGCCACCATTCTTCCTTAAAATCTATTTGTGCTGTGATTGAGAGAGATGTGTGTGTGTGTGTGTGTGTGTGTGTGTGTGTGTGTGGACTTGTTGCTGAGCCCTTATACAAAGATATTGAATTTGCCATCCCTCAGAAAGCAATTAACAGAATTGATCTCTTTCCAGCTCCCATACCAGTTGTGGTGTCTGATTTGGGGACAAAGAGAAACAGGGTCTTCTTTCTCGCTCACTAGGTCTACAGTGTCCTTGACATCTCTAAATGCCACCTCTCTCCTTCAGAGAACTAGGGCTTGTCCAGTGCATGCCCCCTTTCCCTGCCCACCCCACAGCTATTTGAGCACAGAGATCTGGCATAGACAGTCTATTCTGTTCCTATCTCTGCTACTCAGTGATTTTGAAACATTTGCTAGCATACAGCCATTTGTCTGTTCATTGATTGCTTCACCAATCGCCAAAGTGTCAAAGTTAAACAGTAGGCTGTGCCATCCCTCCCCGAACTACTAAAATATAATGTCAGTTCTTCAGAACTCTCCAGAAAGATTTGGACCCCAAAGAGTTTCTGCCGTTTTCACCACCATTGTAATCAGTTTATCACTGTGAAGTTAATTAGTGTCTTTCCTGTCACACTGTAAGTACCTTGGGGGCAGGGACTGTTAATGTGTCCACACTTGTCAAGTCTCCTGACAAGCCCCTTGCTGGGACCTACCAGCCTGGTGACTCTTCTGGCTCCTCTATCCTGGCTCAGGGCCTTTGAACTTGCTCTGCCCTTTGCCCACAAAGCTCTTTTCCTAGATCCTCACTTGGCATTGCATACTCCTCACCTGTTGCATTTGTTCTCCTTGCCACTTAGAACTATCAAATATGCTCTACTGTTTCTTTGTTTGCATGGCTTTCCCACTAGAATGTTAGTTCTAAGTGGTGAGGATTTTTGTATGTTGTGTTTAGTGCTGTATCCTCAGTATCCAGAACAGTACAGGAAGACAGTAACCTCTCCGTAGACAATCCAACCCATGAGTGAATAAGCACCTGTGTGAACAAACACCCATTTGACAGCTCAGATGGGCACAGTCATAATGCCTACCTCTGTCCCCAGGGCAGGTCACAGGCCAGACACCCAAAATTGGTGTCCCTTAAGCATCCCTAGCTCCACAACTGCAGGCTGATACCTAACACATTCTGGCTTGGCAGTGGCCCTGGAAATGTGAATGCTGTCCCAAGACTTGGATTTGGGAATGGTTTCAAATCCTTAAAGCACCGTCACATACTTTTTGGAAGTGTATTTCAAAAGTACGTTTTGGGCATGTTTGGTCTGTTTGGTGGATGAAAATATATTTTCCCATGGAATTCTGTTTTGCACTTTGTGCTGGAAGCACCCAGTTAGGGTTTTGGGGAGTATATTTTGACACCTGGAGATGGATTAAGCTTCCATTTTTGTTTTTGATGTCTATGGAATCTTCCTTGTGTTTGAATTTTGTTGTTGTTTCCATGGGTCAAGGGCCCCTTCTGCTTCAAGCCAGGGGCTCTTAAATCAGGCCCTGGTCTCCTGTCTTGGTTATCTATTGTCTGGGTTTAAAACAAATTTGAAGACTAAAAATGTCCAAAGGGCAAAAAATGAAAACCTAAAGTTAGACTCCTAAGAGGACAAATAGAAAGCTAGATGACTTCTAAAAACAGAGAAGAGCGCTCAGGCTCCCAGAGGGCACCGAGTTTCAGGACCTGTGAAGGAAGGTGAGGGTTCTAATTTGAGCCTGCCCGCACACACACACACTGAGGCTCTGCTGTGAAATGTTGCAATAGCTTCATATTCTCCATTCTTCTAGCAATTTATTATTTATTTATTTTGTGTTGCTGGGGACTAAACACAGGGCTTTGCTCACGCTAGGAAAGTGCTTTACCACTGAGCTGCCTCTCAGCCCTAGGGATTAAATTTTAACAGGTAATCAAGAAAGATTACAGTTCCTCATTAAAATCTTGTGGAAATTTTTATTTCTGGCAGTACTGGAGTTTGAACTCAGAGCCTCATGCTTGCTAGGCAGGCATGCTACCATTTGAGCCATGCCTCCAGCTTGTGGAAATTTTTAAAAGTGTAAGCATTGATAGGATTATGTGTACCTCATGGAAGAATCTTCGGGGTGTACTCTATATGTTTGATGCTAGCACAGCAGTGTGTGTTTCTGTTGTTCATTAAATGGGATTTGCAGCAGTTCCATAAACACATTTACACAGGAATTTTCATTCTCCAAGGTGCTAATTAGGCCCTTTCAAAGACTGCTCTTGATTGTTTAATCTCTTTTCATTAAAATCATTCTGCAAAGATGCTCTTGAGGGACCAGGGGCATGGCTCAAATGGTAGAGCACCCACCTAGCAAATTCAAGGCCCTGAGTTCAAACCCTAGTCCCACCACCAAAAATAAAATCTTGAGCTGAAGAATGAGGACATCCTTGTTGCCGTTGCATCAAACTTTGCATTAATCAAGCCAGGACAGAGTGAGTTTGATCCCTGCAGGTAAAAGCTTCAAGCTGTTGACACTTAATTATAGCTAACCAAAATGTTGAACAATTCTTAGAATTATTCTAACCTAGGAACAATAAGTTTTAAACAAAGCTAGTATGGGAAAACAAACAGGGAGCAGGAAGAACAATGGTGCTATGGAGTCATTTCCAGCATTGGAAGATCAGGGATGGCTGTTAGTGCAAAATCACAAGTAAATGAGCTTAACAATGGCATCCACAGGGAACTTTAGGGCAGCTTTCATTCCTTGAATTCAATTCTTTTCCTCTTCCTAACTTCCTTCTCCCGAGAGAAAAAAATTCTCTTTTCATGGCACTGTGGCCTCTTTCTTTTCTTTTTTCTTTTCTTCTCTCCCCCTCCCCCACCACCCTCCTTTCCTTTTCCCTCCCCCACTAATCACATGCTTGAAAGGAAAAAAAAACAGTTTACCAACAACAGAAGAATAGTATTTCTGAGTAAAGATCAGAAATGTCTTCCCCTGATTTAGAAACTCTCTAAACCTTGAATAAGTATGTTATTGAAAACACAATTATCATTTATCTCTTAAAATAAGATTAAATTGTTAATTCTGAGAAGTTCTCCATGTTTTCCAAGAATGACCTGTTTTACAAATGTTAAATTCACAGTCAGCATGTGAGGGCTCCTAGCCCAGCTTTTCCTTTTTTCTTATCTGAGGTTATAGACCTCAGGAGAGCAGGGGAGGGTTACAAGGTCAAAGTCTTTTCCTCCTTGGAACTTGCTGCTTGCTGGGAGAGGGCTGCCTGGAAAATAGATGCTTTGGAGAAGAGGTTGGGGGGTCACGATTTTAATTCTGTTAAGGAACAGCTGGTTTGAGTTTCTTTCCACTTCTATCTCTTGCTCCCTTCCTCACAAATCCATGGAGAGAGAAGAATTTGTTTGGAAGGGACTGGCAACATAAAAATACACCTTTTATTACTGTATGGCTTCACATATGTCATCTTTGTGACCAAGTTGAATGCTGAGGGCTAGAGAGAGGCTAGATTTTATAAAAATTAACTAGATCTGAAACAGATCTAAACCAGAGCTTTAGTCAGATGAACCTTTTCAAATATAGGATGTGTGCCTGGAAAGTTCTTTTACTAATATTTTTAACTAAAACTTGAATAGAGATAAGTATAAGGGAGGCCTCTAGGGTATTTGGAGGCTGAATGCAAAGGAAGGTTCATGACTGAAACAGGAAAGCCTGCCAAGTGTGTGCGTTACTTGGTTCTGGACTAGACAGACACCTTGGCTATTTCCAAATTAGTGTGCCTTCATCCAGCACCCAAATGTTTACCGAGCACCTCCTCTTCCCACAACCATTCTAGGGGCCCAGGACAGAGCGGTAAGATATATGGGGCTCCTGTGCAAGCAGGTGCCTAAACGCCCTCTCCATCCCACAGAGCTTCAGCCCTGATTATGGCTGGCTGTTCTAAACACTTCACATGCCGTTTGGGATTTCAAACTCAGGTCTGGTCAAAATAACATTTTGCTATAAACCCAACACTTAAAATGAATATGTAACACCAGCAAAACAGTAAGAAAAAGAAAGTTTGAAAAAAATTTTAAAAAAGACTACTACATGGTGTGATTATTTTTATTTAGGTTCTGAAATCTCACTGCTCCCTGCTCCTCTCCCTACACACACACACACACACACACACACACACACACACACACACACACACACACACACACACACACACACACACCACAGACTAAAACTCACATCTCTCAAATAAATGGCAAACCAGTAACAGATTTTCTGTCTGAGCTCCTCAGCACACTGGCCTCAGGCTGTGTTGGTGTGTGGCTCAACAGCAATCAGAGGTCATAATTTCATTGGCAGTTAGCATCAGGTTTAATTTTTCTAGCATGTTACATTTACCAAAATGTCTGGTTTCAGTTATGCTTAGGCACTCACTGAATCAGCTTCGAGCAGCATGATGTCTTAACGTACCTGAGGTTTATGGAACACATATGCTAATTGTTTTCAATCACTTTCCTTTCTAAACACAAAAATGTGTTCTCTGAAGCTGAATAGCAGTAGTCCTTGATGACATTGCTTGTCGCTTAGAGAAGAGAACCCCAAGTAGGTAAAAATGTCAATTTAACAAGACTGCCACCTACTGATTGACAGAGTCGAAAAAAACATCAATTATGGCATTTTTTAAAATAACTGTATATAATTATTTTTTAAAGATGCCTCCTAAAAATTAACGTGCATCATTTTAATTGCATTTTAGGAATGTGACCAGGTTCACATAGATGATGTTTCTTCAGATGACAATGGACAAGACCTAAGGTGAGCTCTGAAATGCAAACTGACCTTCTCCCTCATTCAGCTTAATTACTTGGCTAATTCAGATGAATTTTCTGTGCTGTTAACTTTGGGCTTTTCTTGCATCTAAATAGCACATATAACTTTGGAACAGATGGCTTTCCCGCTGCAGCCACCAGTGCTAATTTATGCCTGGCAACTGGTGTCCGGGGCGGAGTAGACTGGATGAGAAAGTTGGCCTTCCGCTACAGACGAGTAAAAGAGATCTACAACACCTACAAAAACAACGTGGGAGGCAAGTGACCACCACCGATACCTTCGTGGGGTAGTGAACACGGTCTGCTTAAAATTCTGAACGTACCACTCACTTTTGGGTCTCATGTGTTTGGATAGAATGGCTTCTTTAGGGAAGTTTCATCTAACCAGTGACTTTTCTGCTATGATTTAGTGACAGAAATATTTGACTACAGACAGCTGCACTGGTGGACACTTCGTGGTGTGACCTGGGGCAAGTTCCTCGACCTGAGATTCAGTGTTCTTCCAACAAAGTGGACTTAGCAACAGTTGCCCAAATCACACAGAGTTGTTACTCTGCCTGCTAGATGGTTGCATGAGCTGTGACTTTTTTTACCTTGTGGTTGACAGTGGTCAAAAGGCTTTAGCATAAAGGAATATACTGACTTACTAATGAAAAGTGCAGGGAGGATGTGGCTTAAATAATGCTGTCAGGAAGACCTGTGCTTTCCTTTGGGTAGGACTTATCCTAGGTCAGTCTCTCCTAAAAAGCATCAAAGTGACTACCAATAGATGGAGATTTTATATCTGACCCGTGTAGTACTTCCGTGACGGAGGGAGAGACATCTTTGTATAGATTCAGCAAGTTTCCCAGCTGACTTTGCAGGCCAGGCCAAAGTCACACACCCACCCTGGAACCAGAAGATGGGCAAGCTCTGCCCAGAGTAGAGACAGCGGGCAGAGCAGCCTCCACAAGAATAGATGACTCCTGTCACCAGAAGAAGTGATGCTAGGTGTGCCCAGACAGTAGACATCCTCTGTAAAGACATACGCCTTTGCAACTGAATGATCATATGTGAAAAATTATTGTGTGTACCATTACAGTTGAGGGGGGTGTTGATAGTAAGTGTCTGTCATTTATAAAGCTGAGGAGACATGCTGGTAAGGAAGTGGTTCATCTGTGCTTTCAACCCTCAGGTCTGCTCGGTCCAGCTAAGCGGGAAGCCTGGTTACAGCTGAGGGCTGAGATTGAGGCACTGACTGACTCCTGGCTCACCCTGGCCCTGAAAGCACTCTCTCTCATTCACTCCCGGTGAGGCGCTTGGGGACCTTTGCTGGGACATGGGCACTGCTCATGCTTTTTCATTTTGGAGATTTATTTTTCAACAGTCTTTGCTTTTCCTTTCTGTTCTCCTAGGACGAACTGTGTGAATATTTTAGTAACAACTACCCAGCTTATCCCGGCATTGGCGAAAGTCCTGTTATATGGATTAGGAATTGTATTTCCAATAGAAAATATTTACAGTGCAACTAAAATAGGTGAGCTGTGCTTTTTGTTTGTTTGTTTGTTTAGTATCAACCATTTCTTTCAGGTTAGCAAAAAGGAAAGACAGTGAAACTTTTTTTTTCCAGAATGCTAGCTATATCAGAAGGCTAGAAGAATAATTTTATTCCTAAAGTTGTCTCTAAACATCGAGAAGTATAAAACGTAAGTTGTGCAACTGAAGTCATAAAATTTTACTTTACTGGTTAACTATTAAGACCTGGGAATTTTCAGTATAAGTAATTTAATATCAATTCTGGATTATTATCTTACCTTTATTCTTTTAAGCAATATCAACAAAGTATTTTATAAGCTAAACAAACAGTAATACTAAACTATGCAAAGTAGAAATGAAGCAACTCTAAAAACACTTTCCTCTATTATTACTGGAAATGGGTTTTTTGTTTTTAATTCAATATGTATAAAAATTAAGTTCTCATTTTTGCTATGAGGTTAAAAAATTAAGCTCCTTGAAAGAAGGAAACACAGCTGGGGGGCATCTATTATGAAATTTAGTTAGACTATAAACCAACACAGAATAAAAGTAGAGAACTGGGCATGGTGGTACATGCCTGTGGCCCCAGCTACTGGGGAGGCAGAGGTAGGAAGATTGTGGTTCCAGGCCAGCCAGGGCAAGTTAGCAAGAGACCCTACTGAAAAACAAACTAAAAGCAAAAGTACTCAGGGCATGGCTCAAATCTGCAAGGCCCTGAGTTCAATTCCCAGTACCACAAAAAGAAAAAAAAAAAAGAAAACATGAGCTGTTCTCATGGGAAACAGACATCTAATAACTATAACCCAAGAGAATAAAGCAATATGTAAGTGAGCATTTATCAGGTATCTCTGAGACATCCAGAACTTTGCTAAGCATTTTACATATTGAAGTTAGTTTTCACATTTTATAAGCGAGGAAAGTAAAACTCTGAGTCATCAGTAAACCATTGTGGTAAGTAGCTGGTAAAGCTGAATGTCAAGCTCGGGTCTCTCTGATCCAGATTCTTTCCACTCCTAGAGGATCCTCTCAGCACCTAAAGGTGCACATGGCTGAGGAAGCACTGGCTCCCAGGCAGGAAGTGGCAGAGGACAAGTGTTAAGAAAACTAAAGGACAAAACGACATTTGAGCTGGATATACAAGAATAAATAAGGGCTTACCAGGCAAATGTGCTAGTGAAGTCAAAGGAACAGAGAAAATATTTTGCTTGCCTGGGAGGGACTTGTATGTGGTCCCGAGTGGCTACCGTGCTTTGCTCATGGAAAGCTGAAGCTGGGAAAGTAGTTGTAAGTGGCTTTGTATGTTACCCTAGGGACTAGGGAAGGGGAGTGGGTACCCTAGTAGGTAGGAGAAGGAGAAGGCCATTTTGGGCTGCTCAACTCTATCAAAAGAAAAAGGGCAAAAATGGCCTCCCTATCAGTCTAACTTCCATCTTGCTACACTTGCATACTTCCTGTGCTACTCCTTCAATGTATTTGCTAAGTGATCACTAAAGAACTATGTGTGTAATTATTATAGTCTGCCTTCCCCATGAAACTTTAATATTCTTGAGGACTGTGTTTGTCTCTTGTTCATCATAGTGGATGCAATGACCAGTACATAGTACATACTCGCACACTGGTTTTGAACAAAAGAAATGAAAAAATGCCTGTATGTCTAAAATCATTCTGACACAGGGGTTTCTTTTAGGTTTCTTTTTAGTAACATGATTAGCTGATGGGGGAATTATGTCGGATCATGTTGATATTGAGTTTGAAGAGCCTGTCTGTATTCAGGTAGCCATCTCAAATTGGAAATAAGCTTTGTAGGGTTAGAGAATGACTCCATGCTTCCTTAGAAAGACAAAGAACAAAATGCTGAAATATACTTAAATGGAAAAGGATATACCAAATAGGATAAATTCTTAGTTGCCCACTATAACCAGAAATTTAATATACTCTCTCAAACAAGTAGTAGTCAGTTTACATTGACTCACATGTTCATCCCATTCTCACCTATATTGATCACAAAGACCTGTATTGTGTTTTATAAACAGAGATGATGGCAAGGTTTATCAACACATGAAAGCTGGGATGAATTCCTAAGAAGCTTATAGTACGGGAGAGGTAGTGCCTAGCCTCCCAGAAGAAATGCATGTTGCATGTCATGTACATTGAAGTGTAATCCCCAATAAATTGAAAATGGTATAATAAATTATAATCACAATTCAGTAAGCAGCAAGTGTTTTTAAGTGGGCATTTTGTTTGAAATATTATTAGTCTTTACTTTTTAGTTCTGAATAAAAATTAAAATAAAAATATGTGGGGGTAGAAATCCCATCAAGGTACAGCCTTGCTTTTCTAAATTTTTAGTAAGAGAACTGCAGATAGAAACTCCTGTGGTTATTCTACTGATGCCATCAAATGAAATCTATGTGGGGCTCAGTATAGAAAACCCAGGAATTTTCCCTGTAGGCAAAATGGCAAAGCCCTGGCAGAAGATGACTGCTACCTCATTTTGCAGAGCTGTGGTGTACTTTCAGACAAAATGGATTCATCCAAGTGAATACTTTGTATAAAAATAGAAATTCTACTTAGCCTCTAAAAGTCAATTTCATTTTACTATTACTATGAAAACTTTCTACTTGGCCCCAACTTGACAATAATGCCTATGCAAAGTACACAGGAAAGAATTTCTAGGTTTTTTGGTTTGGGGGGTGTTGTTTTTGGTTTTTTTGTCCACCATGACTTCACCTTTAACAATGAGTTTGTAAAAACTTGTATTTTCCCATAAGGAAAGAAAAGATTTCATGACATATGTTTGGTTGCATATTTTTTGCAGTGAAAACAGCACTTTGTATTTTTTTCTTAAAGTGATTTAGTATTTCACAGTTTAGTGAGCAGTAAAGAATCATTGAAATTGCATCCTTTGAATAAGGCTGGCTCTATTTCATTCTGTCAGATGCAAAGGAGAGATTTTAGTGTGAAATACAAATATAAAGCAGACATTTGTTTAAGCAAACAAGCAATTTGTTCATGTGTCTATCTGATCCTTATTTAAAAGAGGTGCAGGCCCTGCTCAGCCATTCACATTTGAAAAGTATAAACTGTCCCATTGTCCATTAAAAAGACCTTGTTGGCAGCCCAACCCTTGGAAACCCAGTTTCTTCCTGAGGAGAAACAATGCCTGCATTAGCTGGAGGGATGTGCTGACAGCATAGCCTCTGTGGGAGCCCAAACTAAGTCCCCACGTGGAAAGATAATAGACAGATAACGGTGCTCTGTAATCTTTATCCCACTTTTCCTCTAGGAAAGCACTTTATTGAACCTGAGATGCCAGAATAAGGAGAGCATGAGCTCTCTATAGTACCCTGGATCACCTGGAGGAGTTTTAAGAGAATTGCAAATAAACACCTTAGGCTTTGGAGGGCTTTCATTCAACCTGTAAATAAAGCGATAAACTAATTCCAGTGTTTGCTTTCTCTTGCTGTACCCAAACCAAGTCCAGTTACTTTTTTTTTTTATCACTTTCAATAGTCTTTGGATCAAGTATTATTTTCAGAGTTTGATATATTAGGAAATATTTTTAAAATCAACTTAAAATATGTTGCCAGAATTGCATGCCTCTGTTCACTCTTAGCTTGTAGGATTAAAAAAAAAAAAGTATTAGCACAAAACACTTTTCCCTCAGTTTTTATACTGCAAGTTCTTGGGAAAAGAATATGTAAGATATCAATTCCGAGGGACAGGATACCACATTGCTAATTAATGTACAATTTTTAATGTATCGTGCCATTGCACATACTATCCAAGTGTTGTAAAAGCACACGAGGGGTAGAGTTGGAACAGAAGCATGAGCCAAGCATTATATATAAAAAGTTCTAGCTCTGTCGTACTGGATTACCCAAACTTTACATTTCCCATAATTTATTTTTGTTCATTAGGAAAGGAAAGCTGTTTTGAGAGGATAATTCAAAGATTTGGAAGAAAAGTGGTGTATGTCGTTATAGGAGATGGAGTGGAAGAAGAACAAGGAGCAAAAAAGGTGAGCATTCCTGGCAGGTGCTTTTTCTTAGTCCTCAGAACTCTCAGAACTGGATCATTAAGCATATTCCATTTCTCCGCAACAGACTCATGGAGGGTACAGAACCGGGAGCATTGCAAAAAGGCAGAACAGAATTCCACCCAGGCGGGAGCACAGGCTCAAGGGTCCTAGGTAGTTGATCTTTGTAGAATGTAGCCTTTGGGAACAGAAAGGAAGACTTTCACAATGGAGATGACAGGTGTGTTGTCCTCGTGCCAGCATGCCCTCTCTCAGGCACAGAGTGCCAGGTGGTTGAAACCTTGTTACCTGTGCCTTTCAAATGTCCCATCAGAAAGCCCAAAGCAGGTGGTCAGAGCTGGCTAGCAAGATGAATTTGATTCTCTGCCCTAGAGGAGTGATACCTTCTTTTCATCATGAGGTCAGCATTTCTCCTCACCTGGGAAAGGAGGAAGGGGGTGGACTTCACTCCCAGTTTGCCCTTTGCCCCTCATTTTATTCTGCTGAATCTCGTCAAGTGTCACTCTATCATTTCTCTAGCAGAAGCTGTCTCATTAAGCATTTCATTGCATTTTGGGAAGGGGAGGACCCCATTCCTTAGCCTGGCACTCAGGGTCTTCACAACCTGATTACAACCTGCTTATCTTGATCTTTTTCCCTCCTTCGCTCAACACTGCAGTCGCATTCAGGTGCTGACCTTGTACTTAATCAATTTTCTGTTAGCAAAATACTTGAGACATGGTAATTTATAAAGAATAGAGGTTTATTTGGTTCACAGTTGTGGAACTGTAAGAGCATGGTGTCAGTATATGGTGAGGGCCCTCTTGCTATATCATAGCATTGCAGAGGACTCATGTGAAGGCAAAGCAAGAATTCTACCTTAGGTCTTTCTTCTTCTTTGAAAGCCACTAATGCCATCACAACACCCCACCTCATCTAACTCTATCTCCGAAAGGCCCTACCTTCCGATGTCACCAACATATACATCTAGGAACTCAGTTTCCAATACATCTTAGCACTTTCCTTTGACCATTCCCAGCCCTTTTTCCCTACTGTTGCCTGTCGCAGGAATGATTTTCAGCAATGCTTTTCTGTCATTGTCTTACTCAGTTTTCAAAACCCAGTTCATGTACTACCTTTTACATATCCTCTGCTTTTAGGAGCTCAATTTCAGTATCTCTCACTTAAACTGAAGAAGCTATAGTGGTAACTAGCTTGGATTCTTCATCTAGCCAGGGTTTGATTTGTCTTTGCTGTTTATCCATCCCATAACTTTGACAAGGTTTTTTTTTTTCTTTCTTTCTTTTTCTTCTTTTTTGGAGGTACTGAGGTGTGAATTTGGGAACTTGTGCTTGCTGGGCAAGCACTCTACTGCTTGATCCATGTCCCTAGCCATTTTTGCTTTAGGTATTTTTCATGTATGGTCTCACATTTATGCCTGGGCTGATCTGGATCCAGATCCTCCTATTTAAGCTTCCCACATAGCTAGAATAACAGGTACACACCACCACACTCAACTTATTGGTTGAAATGGGTCTCACAAACTTTTTGTCTGGGCTGGCCTTTGGACTGCAGGCCTCCTAATCTCTGCCACCTGAGTAGTCAGAATCATAAGTGCAACCTACAGTGCAGCTTGCCCATAAATGGAGATAGTATTAGCACCAAGCTCCCTGGCCTGTGTTGTAAGTTAAATTCATCTGAGGTATGTAGTCTCCATAAAATAGCCTGATATACTTAAATCAGCAACAAATAGTAGCTGGTTTTGTTTGGTTTTCTTGGTGATACTGGGGTTTGAACTCAGGGCTTGCACTTGCTAGGTGGGTACTCTCCCACTTGAGCCAGGCCCTTAACCCAGCCATTGTTACTATTTGTATGAGTGCCTGTTTCAGCAA